CAAGCTGCAGTCGAGGCCGATCGCCCGCGGCGTGGGGAGAAGCTGGGCGGGCATCTCCGTGGTCGCTTGCCAGGGATCGGGAGAGCTGCGTTGATCTGTTTGGTAGCCGCAGCGAGGAAGTCACCAAGGGTCCACGTCGTTGTGGCAGCCACGCGGGGGCGGGACCGGCGCATCGTGATGGGAGACGACGCGAAGCGCGTGGCAGGGCTTGAAGTAGCGGGGCTCGCTGCGTGGGCGGCGCCATCTACGAGCGCGCCATGTTGGGCCTCATGCCCCTCCTATCCTCAGGGACTTTCACCTCTATATATTCACAAACACATTAGTTTCTTAACTTTTTTGTCATTAATCATCCAAAACCCACAAAGGGGGCACTAGATGCACTTACAATAGCCTACCTATTTTCTTGCTAAACTACTTTCCTTACATTAAATTTGTTTTTGTGTGATGGTTGATTATATGTTTTCTTATTTCCTTTTATTAATCAATTAAGTATTTTGTTGCATTTCTGTTGTCCTTTTCATAGTGGAATGCCTTATCATAGAATCTAAGATAATAAAGTTTATATGATTCTGCAACCATATATAGCATTTTTTTCCAGGAAATATTTGATCTATTTTTTTTTGTTACATGGAACTTGATTATTGATATGAACTATGATGGGTCAAAACTCAAAAGCCACCCGAACCAATTTCCTTTTGCAATGGAACTTGATTATCTAATCAGTATGTTGTTGTCATTTGCGAACAGAAAGTATCTACTTTCATGCTTCAATCTAAGGAATATCTTGTTAAAAAGGAATTTGACAAGATACCAAGCGCCTTACAAATGATCACAGATGCTTTGTCCGTAAGCATTCATTCAGATAACTTGATGAAAATGAAAGCAGAAGCCCTGTTACTGGTCTGTATTTACGGTAAACTTGTTTTTCCTACATACCATATTGCCAAGTTTTGACTGCTACTGTAGCTAGTAAGTGTATTAATTAACTGTTACTTTCATGGGGCTTGGCAGCTGCGGCGATATGAAGAATTAATTCAGTTTTGTGAAGAAACTCTGCAACTGGCAGAAAGAAATAGTGTGCCTCTGTGTCTTGATGAGCATCTAGAAAACATTAACTTGGACAGCTACGGGTTTTCTGTGAAATCTTGGTGCTATTATCTTATCGCCAAGTCATATTTCTTCATAGGAAAGCTTGAAGAGGCTCATCAGTTCTTGAAAAAGTACGAGCAAACAACACCTGCGGAATACAAGTAATATTTTGTGAAGATTTCTATGTCAGTGTTGTATGATTTTATGTTCTATATGTCACTACTCATATGGTTTGCTAAATTTGTGAAAATATTGACTAGGTGCGGGAAGCAGTCTCAACAATCAGTTTCATTACTTTCAAAGACAATCTCTGAACTACTGCGTCTTAAAGTATGTCCGTTCTGCCTCTATTATTTCACTTCCATGGATGATTTAGTTGATGACATGTCACAGGCTATCAATTGCATCATCGCAGCCTCACTATCTAAAGATATGATGTCCAATACTCCAACTATCCAACATTTTTGTTCTAGAAAAAAAAACTATCCAGCATTTTGTTTACAGGTTGTCTATGCTGTGTTGGTCTAATCATATGATGTCCCACTGTATCCAAATTCTATCTACCATGCATTGTCTTTCGGTCATGTACATACATAATATCCCTGATTCCACAAGTATTGCAAGGATTTTGCACTAGAGGCATGAAATTCTTATTTTCTTCATTTTAGGTTGCTGGGAATGAAGCTTTTCAAGCTGGTAAATATTCAGAGGCTGTGGAACATTATAGTGCTGCTTTGTTGAGCAACGCGGAGTCATTACATTTTTCAGCAATCTGTTTTGGCAACCGTGCGGCTGCATACCAAGCAATGGGCCAAATTTTAGATGCCATAGCAGATTGTTCGCTAGCTATAGCCCTTGACACTAGCTATTGTAAGGTTGGTGAAAGATCCTCATCTTCTATCAAACCAAAATTTAACCATGCTCTCTATTTTTGTTTAGATTCTGGCCAAAAGTGTCTGTATGATATGGTGTGCTATAAATGTGCTTGTTTATTTCATCAAGTATTTTGGCAGGGCATGCATTTATTCTTGCTAACCCATCTGGTGAACATCTCCCTCCACCTTAAACGTCCTGATGTGCGATGTATTGATTTGGTACTTTTTTGTCTAAGTTGCCCAAAAATAGGTAGATAATAATACTTTGATTTTGGATTGCTTACTGCCACATGGGCATAGGAATGCTCCAATATGTAATGTCCTGCTCTTCATTTTCCTATGCATAACATGCATGTTCTTGGGTTGCATTCAGTGAAACCCGAAGCTTGGAGATCTTTCTGGATTACCATTTACCAGTTATACCTTGTATGTTTTATGCAAAGTTACTGCTTTCTCCATCCTTTCGATCAGATGAAGTTGACATCGCCATTGTAGTAGGGAAAATTTCTTCATATGAATGGTGTGAGCAACTAAGTTAAAAATCTATGTGGTTGCTTGAGTTACTACTGGATTCTTTTGGCTGAACCTTTCACATTGAGTTATATTTTCTATATCCACTATACATACTGTTTTTATGGCGTTGGAAGTTTGACTGGATAAGTCTTGAATAGAGCTGGTTGACTAATTATGCTGTCAATTAACTTTTAGATAAATTGTAGACCTGCGAGAAGATGTTATCCCAAAGCCTTCTTTGTACACAAAATGGGGGACAAGAGTATGAAAATAAGAAAGAACCAAGAAAAACACCCCTAATGTATTGTGTTTTGTAGGTTATTTCTAGAAGGGCTAGTTTGTATGAACTTATAAGGGACTACTATCAGGCAGAAAATGATCTTCGGAGACTAATTTCTCTTCTTGAGGAACAACTACAAGACAATATGTCCATGCCATCAGAAAAATTAGATAATGTTCGTAACAATCTACACCGAGCCAATCTTAGGCTTTCTGCTTTGGAGCGTGATGCCAGAAAAAGGACATCACTGAATATGTATCTGATATTGTAAGCCTCTGTCCTTATTCTAATTTCGTTTGAAGTAGAACATACACAATCATGTTTTGTACAATGACCTAAACTTATGCGATATCTATCCGTGCATCTTTGTGTCTAATTTTATTGCTGCTGCATCCTTCGACATGTACAATTTGTCCTTCTAACCTCTATTAATTACAATGCTGTAAATTAATACATCCTCTGTTCACTAATGTAAGACGTTTTGGCAGTTTAATTTATACTGCCAAAATGTCTTATATTTAGAAAGAGAGGTAGTATTGATTAAGTTGATAGAAGGGCGCTCTGACCAACTTATTCCTAAAGTGAAATTGTCATTTTACCTATAAGCTCTGCAGCAGTTAGATGAAAATGCTACACTATTATCATGTCATTCATGACATCACCTTGTGCAATGAATGTGTCTTTCTTTCATGTGTGTAGTTATGAAAATCATTTCTGATAGTGGTGAGTAGTCACAGTTTATTTTCCATATTACTGCAAAAAGTGGGGAGTTGGGCATTTAGAATTACTCCCTCCGTTCCTAAATATAAGTCTTTTTAGACATTTCAAATGGACTACAACATACGGATGTATGTAGACATATTTTCGAGTGTAGATTCACTCATTTTGCTCCGTATGAAGTCACTTGTTGGAATTTCTAAAAAGACTTATATTTGGGAACGGAGGGAGTACACTACATGCATTTGCTCCCTATGGAAAGGAACTTCCGTTGGAAAGCAATGTGGATAGGGCATGTTGGAACATAGTTCCAAAGTTTTGTTCTGCGAAAGTGGGAAGAACTTAGTTACTGAATGTCTCTTCCCGGAAACACACCTGGAATGTCTGACTGAGATCTGCTTTTCCATGCAGAGGAATTGAGCCATCCTGCTCTGCTGTGGATATAAAAAGAGCATACCGCAAAGCAGCATTAAGGCATCATCCAGACAAAGTACTATATTCGATCTTCATGTAGACAACTATGGCATTTTTCTTGATTTCTTCTGTTCATTAACATTAATTATGGCACAGGCAGGTAATTTTCTCGTGAGAAGTGAAAATATCGATGATACAGTATGGAGCGAAATTGTGAATGCGATCCGCAGAGACGCTGATTATTTGTTCAAAATAATTGGGAAAGCATATGCTATACTTTCGGACCCTACCATGGTAGGTTTCTTGTCATATTCTGGGTGTTTTTGCTCTTGTTAGTGTTTCTAAGTTTTATCTGTTGAAAACTGAATATAGGTTCTTATACTGGCTGATGTTTTCTTTTAATAATGTTCTATGTTGGTTTAGATTGAGTGACATGTCAGATTAGAGCACTTTTCTATTTTAGTTTATCTTGTTATGATAAAGGCTTGCATTTTCTTTGATATTTCTGAATGAACTTAAACTGTGTTTTGTTAATAATCAAGCGTAATCTGAGATTCTCTTTTTTGAAGATCTGAATATGGAACTATTCAGTGTTATTCACGCCATAGGTATTTGAGATTTTGAAGCTATAAGGCAAGTTAATAACAGTCAGCATGAACATCTGGCACAAGCACATCCTACTAACTAGTAACAGTAGGACTTCAAGTTGGAGCCATGTTAAGCGCCCACCTTTGCAGTGCTAATGTTTTGTGTCGCTTCTGTTGATAATTTCAAGAGACCGCTGTTTACGGCAGTTTCAGCAAAATTAATACTGAAGTACTTCCTCTGTAAACTAATATAAGAGCGTTTACATTACTGTTTTAGTGATCTAAACACTCTTATATTAGTTTACGGAGGGAGTATCAATCAATTAACTTAAGAAACTTGAACCTCCAAGCTAAGTTCTTAGAATTCTGCGTGGAGCCGTGGACTCAAAGGAGTCTGTATGGTTTGCCTGGGTGGGAATCTGAACTTGAAAGTGGAATCAAGTTTATGGGGTAAAGCTTTTTAGAGAAAAGGAAAAGTAGAGTTGAGGCTGGCACGAAGTCGAAGAACCATTCAGATATTTTCATCTGCAAAAGTCTGCACAGATGTTAGTATGGAAATCAACATTGTAGTTCTTAGTGGCATTAACATATTCAACTTTTAGTTTATCATCATGATCTACAATGGTTTGGCTAAAGTTTTATTTATTTATTTCTCCAGTATTTTTCTTAATGGAAATTAGTTGGATAGCTTTAATCTTCATCCATCAAGGCTAGTTTCTGTTTGTTTGATTTCAAAGCAACAATCATACCTGTTGTTTTCTAATTGTGGACTTGTGGTGCCTGATATATATCATACAGAAGAGCAAATGATGGAACCGGGCACGTGGATTAATGGTACAAGCAGTGCACATGAACATGAGGGCTGCCCTCGGGGCAATCAAAGTGATGTATAGGGTTTGTTTGTACAAAACAGAAGTGATGATAGGATTTTGTGATAATCATGAAGTGGTACAGTAAACAAGTATAATGGGGAGTATCTACAAGAATGCTGGTGACCTTGTTCATGCTGAATGATTGACTAACGTGAGTTTTGGCATGTCCGGTGCTCCCATTGCGAGGTTTAGACTGCGTGAGTACCATGAACCCGGGAAGTTGCGGATCTGGGTCTTCATGGGTGAATCACCGCTGTGAAAGTTTTTCTGCCTGCCAAGTTTCCATTTTGGTGTGCAGTGTGTATACTATATTGGATTACCGCTACCAACTTACCTTTTCATGTAAAGAGGATGTGCATATGTATCTGATGTTGTGCATAGTTTGTTGAAGCAGCTGGAAATGAAATCAGCAGCAGAGGAACACTGTAAATACACACGATGTGTGGCAGGAGCACATGATTTGTTTGGTTTGTTGATTGTATACATATTAGAATGATTTTGCAAGA